CTTTATCTCTTCTGTAGGTATTATTAAAGCCAATCCCAAAATGACTTTCTATTTACTCTCAGATTCTGAAGAATCTTCATCAGTGGGGGGAGGAAGGGGGTGGACACACAAGCACAAACACTCAGAAACTTGAATTAGGGGGAAGTAACATGATAAAATAGTGGGATCTTTACATGTCCTTTAATCATGCAAAATTTTTTTGGGGGTTTTTCGAGACAGGGTTTCTCTGTGCAGCTTTGGAGCCTATCCTGGCACTCGCTCTGGAGACCAGGCTGGCCTCGAACTCACAGAGATCCCCCTGCCTCTGCCTCCTGAGTGCTGGGATTAAAGGTGTGCACCACCAACGCCCGGCTAGTCATGCAAAATATTAACCTCACTGTATTTGTCTGGGTTCTCTAAGGAACAGAGCTGACAGAATACACATTAAAGGGATATTATTAGAGTGGCTGATAGGCTGTGGACCAAGTACTCCTGCAATGGGTATTTTCTGACACAGAGGCCAAGGATCTAGAATGTGTGCAGTGCAAAGGACTAAGTATCTCAGGAGTCCTAACCTGGGGCTGGAATTCTGTGGTATTCCTACAGAGCTGCTGCTCTTGAGTCCACAGAGCAATCCTGTAGGCTCTGATACCAGTGAATGCCTCAGCAATAGCACAGATGACCCTTCCAGCAAGAGTGAGGGCAACCAGGCAAAACCCCAAAGCTTCCTTCTTCCATGTCCTTTATTGTAGGATACACCACAGACGGTGTGGCCCAGGTTTAGGGTGGCTCTTCTCACCTGATATTATCCAATTAGAAATCTTTCACAGGTGTGCCCCCATAGCTTGTGATTTAGTTTGTCCCTGATGTAGTCAACTTGACAACTGACAATGACCATCACACTCATTGAGGAGAACTTATACCCTTTTAATATGTCATAGTTCAGTGTAGTTTTACCTGGTTACATATGTAATATCTGTTACGAGATCAATTGTGTTGTCTTTGTGTATGAGAAAATCCTAGACTCTACTACTTCTGAGTGGAACTGTATTTAAATAGAGGACATTTAAGAGGTGGTTAAGTAAAACTTAAAGTATTGTGATGGCATCTAGTCCAATGTAGTTGATGTCCATGTAAGAGCATTGACTATACAGAAAGAACACGAGGGATGCCCCTCTCTGAGAAAATGCCAGATAAGTTGTAGAACAGAATGACTATCTGCGGGCCAAAGACAAAGATCTCAGGGTAAGCCAGCCCTGTTGACATTATCTTGCTCTTGAACTTCTAGCCAGAAGCCAGAAGTTGTTTAAGCCACAGCATCCCTTGGGTTCAGCTAGCATGACCACAGTGAAACCATATATCATCTTTGTAGAAGTAGTTTCAGATGAAAAATGGAAAGAAGTAATTGTTGATATTATTCCCAAAAGGTAGAATCTGTAAGTCTTTCACATTACTGTGATGAATCTAGATTTTGCTTCCACCAGGGCAGGGAGATATAGGGCATAAACAGCAGGTAGGTTAGGACTACTAAGAGTGGTCATATATGGTAACCACTACCCATATATGACAGCTTAGTGTTTGAAGTATGGCCAGTGTTCTTAAGAAAAGTAATTTTGTTTCATCTTAATAAATGTGTCATATGTCTTTGTTAGATTCTGTTACTACAATAAGCACTATGACCAAAGGCAACTTGGGGGAGGAAAGCGTTTATTTGGCTTACACTTCCACATCACACTTTTTCACTGAAAAACGTAAAGCAGGAATTCAAGGAAGAAACCTTGAGGGAGAAATTGAGGCAGAGACTGTAAAAGAATGTTGCTTACTAGCTTGCTCCTTCTGAGTTATTCAATTTACTTATACACTCCAGGACAACTACCCAAGAGTAGAAACACCCATAGTGGGCTAGGCTGTCCCACATCACTCATTAACCAAGAAAATGCCCATTAGTGAAATCGTAGGCCAGATAAACATTTTCCTTCTCAAGCTGCTTCTGGTCATGGTGTTTTATCACAAGTAAATCTAAATAAGACATCATATTAGATGGTGTGGTTCCCAGTCACATGGAAATATTAAGTACTGCTTTGGTTTTGTTTGGAAGGACTTAAGCAAAGCCTTGCCATAAATCACCAACAGAAAACTGCCTCAGCTAGTATCCTGTAACATTTTAGTAATATATTATATGCTGCTTTGAAAATATTGCTGTGGTGGTTTGAAAGAAAATGGCCCACAAA